TCTGAGGGAAACTGCCTCAACTTCAAAGCCAAATTGCTGCTTGTTAGTGAAGGGTCACATATATATGTGAAAGAGGTTTATTACTATGGGAAAAAAGATAATGGTGGCAAGACCACATTTCATATTTGATGCCTGTCGTATAAACTCTTGATCTCCCTTGATGGGACTGACAACGGTGAGAAATGAAATATGCAAGGTGCATTCCCAGCGGGTTTCTTTGTTTTTTTTCCCTTTTCTTTTTCTTCCATCAGATTTACTATTAGGGCTTATTTCAAGAATCGAAGGCTGGTTTTTAATGTCATTAAGAGGCGATGCAAAGGCCAAAACCAAACACACACTCTTCACTTTTATTTTGAGCCCTCAACCACTGGGGACTATTCTACACCACCTTACAATCCATCCTGTGTAAAAATGAGATTTTTCTACACTTAGTAGAACTTGTGTGCTTTGCCTTTCAATGGCAAGTAAACCTTCACCATGTCAGACAAAGGGAAAACTAACAGATGCAGTAACTTGACACTTAACTGGATCCACTCTCCTCACCCACTTTCAGTGCTGCAGTTATTATATTGCTGCTCACAGTAGTTGTTGCCCAAAGACTTTGGCCAATTTATGATGGTTTTGTCCGCCGTGCTTCTCTTTTACCACTTGCCCCTGTGTGGATTGAAGGACCAGGACCCCTGAAGGTAGGACCACCTCTCTCAGTCAGCCAGCCAAGTTGATGGAGAAATAATATGGCCTACACCTTTTGTCCCACACAAACACATACTCCACGGGCTGAGCTCATGAATTCCTCTTTCCTTGGCTCAAGGCCTGGAAACTTGGGTCTTTTCCAAGAGCTGGGCCCCACACCGAGGGCAGAATTAACCTCAGTCTATAGGTCGAAGCACTATGATTTCCTTGTATTTTAAATAATATTCCTTAAGCATATAAGGTTAATAGAAACTGCCTGGGTAGAACTTGCCAGTAGTTTTGTGTTTTTTTCTGAACTAATCTAATGGAGATGATTATGCAAACTAGTAACTTTTCTTCTTCCACTTACCTTTGCAACCTCTCTCCACCACAGATAAGCTCTAATTGAATATTTAACAGTAGTTTAGAATTAACAGCAAATACATTCAGTATGTCCCACATGGCACAAGAAATAATTAAAAGATCAGTAATACACATCTGCAGTAGTATTATAGGTTTGTAAAATTGTAGGCTTTGGCTTGTGTCTAAATTAAATGCTACAATCACAATTCAACCAGTGCAATCTATAGGGCCTTTGACTATGCACAGGTCACTAGCAGCACACCCCAGCTCTCTTTTGGGACCCTATCCTTGAGAGATTAGCAGAAGACCATTTCCCTTCCCTTCATGGTGTCCACAGACCAAGCTGTTTCTTCATGCTACATCTGTTTCCATGCTGTACTTCATGTGATTTAGCACCCACTTCTAACTACTTAGTGCTTTTTGCAAAACTATCTGATCAATGGCCTGCAAACAGGAGCACTTTCATAGTTAACTGTGCCAAATGAAAATCAGTTAGTTAATATTTAGTAAAGAATCTAGTACTTAACCAGAAAACTGTTCCACATCCTTTAAACTTTCATAAACTAAAAGAGAACGAAGAAGGCACAATAATCTCCGTAAAAGAAAAAAAAAAGGCATCCTTGATTTAATCTTCTAAAAGAGTAAACAGTGCAAACCTTAGCCTCATTCTCATTTTAAGTCCTCTTTATCCATTGCTTCTAAGCAGATTCATATTGCATATTCAAGTAGAGAAACATAATAAAAGTTGCACAGAGACTATCTAACCAAAAAGAGCCAAAACGGACCAAGTGTATATTGTACTTTAAGAACTAGTTGAAAATAACTGTTTTAATGTTTGCCTAAATTCACAACATCTACAATGAAAAAAGCCCCAACTCTTCAATTTTAAAAAGACAGTTTCTATGGAAAAACTCTGTTTTATGCATAGACCAAATAATTCTCATCTCTAAATCAGCAATACAGACATTTAACATGTATTTGCCTGACCAGAAGACATGTAAACTATATAGACAAAAATCTGCACTGCCGTGCTCATGTTATCTACAATATGGGACAACATTAAAATACGGTCAATTGAAAATGCGATCGCAACTTTGACTTAAACAGAACCAGAATAACTCGTGAATTACTTCCACAAAGAAGATTGCTTTACTGAGCTCATATCCTTACATTTCAAAGTCTGCAAGCTCTTTTTCCAAAAACAACTTACTAACCCACATTATTCTGAAGAATTCAGGAAAAGCAAAGCCTAGAGAAGCCTGAGAGGGGATCTTATCAACATGTACAAATACCTCAGGGTAGGATGTAAGGAGGATGGTGCCAAACTCTTCTCGGTGGTGGCCAGTGACAGGACAAGGGGTAATGGGTACAAATTGAGACACAGGAAGTTCCATCTCCATGTGAGGAAGAACTTCTTTCCTGTGAGGGTAACAGAGCCCTGGAACAGGCTGCCCAGAGAGGCTGCAGAGCTGCCTCCTCTGGAGATCTTCAAAATCTGCCTAGATGCAGGTTTTGATCTTGGATCCTGTGCCACGTGCTCTAGGTGTCCCTGCTTGAGCTGGGGGTTTGGACCGCATGATCTTTAGAGGTCCCTTCCAACCTCAACCATTTGGTGGCTCTGTGAAAATAATCCTTTTCAAGTGCGCATATAGACTGCCCAGCATCCCAGCAGTTACTGCTCAAATGCTTTGAAAAAAAAAAAAAGTCCTAGCAGTTATCTCACTTCCATTGCTTCTATTCACAGACCTGTAGGCATCAATAAAACTGAAAATAAAATCAAAGCACACCTATCAAACACTGCACAAAGGTAGCAGAAATCTGTGATTTCTACCTGGAGGGAAATGTGTGTCAACTCCCTCCTGCACCATTAAGGAAACAAGAAGAAAAGGGCAAAACTGACCTCCTCACTTCTGCCCTTGGCATTTTTTCACTCACCCCTTCAGCCTTTTCAGGCTCCTGCTTAGTTCAGCATGTATCCGGCCTCTAGCTGAATCCCCAAGATTCATATTAATCCAAGTAGGTAAGATACTGAAGATAAGATAGCGGAGTACAGTGTATAAGCAGACTGAGTTTGTTGGGGAAAAGTGTAAGCAAAGAGCCTGGACAGAGAACAGATTGCCACTGTAAGCTAAGGAATACAGTGAAAAGTGTGGGGGGAAGAGTGCAGAAAAAAAGCAAACACTGAAGAAAGTGAAGGAGAAAGAGTTCTGAGATATGATACAGAAAATACTACACAGAGCGAAGGGAAAAGGAAAAAAAACATTAATATCTACTGTCCTTTTTGACTAAAGCTCTCTTTGAGGCAAGAACTGCATTTTCTTATATATCTTTACATCCCTGGACATAATGGTGTGCAACCTGACTGTCTGTTTCCAGAGAGCACAAGAGCAACAGTAAACAGCAGCAGCAGGAGCCTGACGGATGGAGCAAGCCGGCCTGCCAAGCAGGTTGTAAGCAGTGCACCGTTTGTTCAGGAACCAGACATACTGGTGAACAGGCTATGCTGAATAATATAATTTTGTCTCTACTGAATAATACATGATATGACATAATGCATTCTAGGCCTCTCCAGATAACAGCTAAAAGAAAATTTCTTATCAGCATTAAATTCAGTGAAGTGGCCCTGGGCGACAGCACAGTTTCAAAAACGTGCTAGTCAGATGTGTGACACTGCAGTAAGAATTCTTAATAAAAACTGGTCAAACATGCTATCAAAAACCAAAATGTACTCAAGAGAACATAGCCCGTATTTTTATAAATCACAAAGGGTATTTTGGTGAATATACAGCCAGTTTTCATGCTGGTAGTATTGGTTTAGGTTCACCTGAATAGGTGCCCTTTCCCCTTTTCAAATCCTGATCACTCCAGCCTCAGGCTCTTAAATGCAAAGATGAATAACAGGTGACCAAAGTCATCCAGCCACTGTGTAATAGGAACACGCCTGATATGCAAGAAAAAAACGTTAAGCAGCTATTCTTGGAATCTTTGACCTAAGTGGAGATAAAACACTTCACAGGCCATAGATAATATAAGCTACCATCATTTTTTTCTTAAAATTTGAAATAATATCCCAAACAGTACTGAAAACCTGAGTAAATATTACTTACAGAGCCATTGTGTATAAGACAAGTTCCTATTTTATACTACTTCCACAAAGTGGAAAGGTATCGCACATATAAACATAAACCATACTTAAGCTACTCTGGCTCACATGTACCCAAACTCAACATAATAGCTACTTTTGGAATACTATTATCTATGTTTATTCCATAGCCAGAAAGAATTTATAATATATAGTGTTTTAATGCTATAAACACTAAGCTAAAATGCTATAAATAACCTAATATATAGCATTTTTTGTTTGTTTGTTTTTAGCTTTTCTTCTCTCGAATATCCATTAATGTTCTTGGCACTAATGAAACCTTTTTGGAAATATTACAGGACTGTTAAGGATGTACCATATGTAGGCTAAATGAGTATTTTACATAACCTTTTTTAGATGACAAAAAAGCCCAAAGGACAAAGAGAAACAAAATACAGAAGCAAAAATCACCACGTTAAAACGAACCATGAAAGATGATTTAAAAACGCAGAATCCTTATTTGCAGAAGTAAAACTACAGAACTAAAGAGATACAAAAAGCCACCAAACATTCTGACCTTTACTTAGTCTACAATAATACTGGATGTGTTTCTGAATGTGGTATCTTTCCTTTCTTAACACTTCAAAGGGATCTACACCAGCCCTAGGCATACTCACAAGGGTTCTAGGAAAAGTTCATTAAAATTGTATTTGTTTCAGTTGGTTTCTTGATATTTCTTTAACGCAGTCATTACTACACATTTCTGTAAGCTCAAGTCAGTGACATCCCAAATCATCCTTAGATGACTTATACTCAGCACTCAGTTGCTCTAGCTCTGCACACACAGACATTGACATATTTAACATTAAAATACAAAACTTACTTTGGCACATCTGCAGATCGTTTCCGGACTCCTTGTAGATCCTGTGAGATATCCTTCCCAGTGTTGTTTAAGATGGTGTCAGCTTTATTTACAGAATCCTCTTTTATTTTAGCTGTAGACCTGACAGGCTGTTCAATTTTCAGATTCTTTGGATGCCTATCCTCCAGAAGGGTATTTCTGTTCTGTAAATCCTTTTCACATCTGTTTGGTTCATCTTGGAAGGTAGACGGTTTAGATTCTACCAAAGAAGATTTTGATGCAATATTAAATAAGCTTCCAAGAAACTGGAAAAAACCTTCTCTGGGCTGCTTGTCCTTATATGCTGTTTTGATTCCAGGTGTCAAACTAGGAAGGCTATTAGCCTTTTTTAACTCCTCATGGATTTCAGAATTGCTAAGTTCTTCTGTGGAATGGTTCTTTTCCTCATTTTGACAAACCTAAAAGAAATACAAGAAGTAGATAAAGAACATAAGTCATCTTCATGTGTTCCCAAACTCCTTCATTCGCTCTTACACCTTCTGCTCCTTTCTGCAGACCTGTAGTTTAAAGGAACAGTTTTTATGAGTATTAATGAAACTCCCATGATCTCTTCTTCTCTTTGAAATGGGCACCTTCCTTTATGTATTAAAAAGTTTACTATTCTACAAAACAAGCAAACAAACAAAAAATAATATAGGCTTTTCTGGTTTGCTAAGCAACTGTTGTGGAAGTAAAGCATTGTAGGACAGGAGAACAACAATTGCTTAAGCAGGCTTAAAAGGAAAAAAACCATTTTTCTTTCTTATTTAAGACAAGGACAAATTCGGTATTATTTACTGTTCATCCACAAGAAAATTAGGACAGCAGACCTAAACCAGAACTTTGTAACAAACACATAAAATATAAATAAAATCCAGTCACTTTGAACAGGTCATACAAGGGAAATCTTTCTTGAAAGATCACACAAATGAAATCATACATTGACATGTAAGCACACAGACATTTGATCCATTTATTGTACCTGAAAGTTTCAACTTTTCTTGCTGGAGTTAGCTATCACTTGTCTGCAATAAGGACACTCTCTGATCATATTGTGCACTGAGCAAGTAGAAGGAATTTCTTGTTCTCTCGGGGTATATGCTGGTACCAGTTCAGGAGTACCATAATGTCTGTCATACTCTAACTTGCTCAGAAAGTCCACATCTACAAACAAATCTACACAAGCTTGCAAAATGAATACAGTTTACAGTTTGCGAATTGTATAAATACGCTATAGCAAGACACAAATATAACACAGCCTTAAGTGTTAGATAACCTGTTCCTTTTACACGCTCCCAGCGTGTTTTTTTGCTTTACAATCTCTTTCTCCTGAGCCAAATTTTCCTAGGGTCTCCTTGCCCATCCCACCCAACATCTTCTCCATCCTCACACTTCATACTGGATTCCATAGCAGCCAAGATAATCTTTACTTTACTATACTTGCCATTTCAGTCCATTTCAAAACAATTGATTAAAATGGAAGAAAATAACCCTACATTTTCTCAGATAAAACCTATTCTGCTCAACAGGACTGGGATGGGAGAGCATAAATAAGAATTCCTGCAAAAATTGTGGTTGAGTCAACAATATCTTTGGTTAAGAGTAATTGTAAGAGTAACTGTAAAAGTTCCAAATTGGATAATGCCTATCCATCCTAACCAAGCCACAAGTTGCTACTTTCATTAGCTCATTAATCCTATCTCAATTTATTTCAACTGCACATTATATGTTAACAGTCCATGAAAGGTTCATGCTAATGATGAAAAGAGTATGTTAACAAACAGCTTTTGTATTTTGGGGAAAAACCACTTTTTTTAGAAAAATGCAAACGATACTTAGGAATATTGAGATAGTGGTCTTTAGTCTTCAAACATTATTTTGTCATCTTTTTCACATGAAGAGTGGATGTAACTGATTGATATTAAGTGATTCGATTGGGGCATGCTTTTCCTCCTCAGCTGTGTTAAAAATTGAATTGTTTGTGCAAGGATCGAAATTCAGTGGCACTAATTTGTGCTTCAGTAATCCATATAACCTGTACTTCTTTCCTTCAAATATGTTGCTTAACTTAAACAACTGTTTAAAGCACTTCTGAAGGTATTCTATGCCCTAAAATCCAGCCTTTCTTCATATTACCAGCAAAAAAATAACACCACTGGCTTCCCCACATACTGCACTAATCAAGTACAGATCACAAATCATCACAGATCATCACACATCACAAATGGATGTAATAATCCTTTTAGTGCTCAGGGATTCACCACGTTACAAGTCTACCCCAAACCTACCCCTGGAAATGAGAAATGAAGCAGAAGCCAGTGCAGCTCACCAGCACAGTGCTCGTATCTTTAGCATTAGACAAACTATGCAAGTAGTAGGCAAACCTTGGATGAATGTCTTGAACAATTAAGTGCATCCTGTAGAAACTAAGTAGTTTACAAAAGGAAATATAAAATAGAAACAAGAAGAAAATGTAATTCGTAAAGTTTGATAATGTATGAATGATATACTGTAATCAGTTTCACAAAGTTCTACTGTCACAGTTTCTTCCATCACTTTGATTAATATCTCGTAATTGCTGAATACTACCTTTTGATTTAACTTTAAGGCAGGGAGGATATTCCTCCCTTGTTCTGTTCATTCACATAAATTTATCAGCTGTAGCTTTCAAAGAATATTTCAGTGCAGGAAAGTATACAGAAACCTTATTCTCTGCAAATATAGCTATTCTAGATGATGGACACATTATTATGTATTTATATTAATTATATATAATATATATATTTATTATATATTTATATTAATTGCTATATATTAATTACTACAATATCTATGAATTTAACAGCATTAACTACAGAAGTATTATGCTCAGTTAAACACTTTACTATCATCGCATCTTTATTCCTCCATTTTTTTAAGGCAATTTCTATTCTGTAACTGAGCCTCCTCTCATCTATCCCACACTAGGAACTGGGACTTCAATCTTTCTCCATGTGATATTCTTCCTCAGCAGCTCTGAGACAGAAAGCCTGTAAAGACAGTGCTTCTTATTTACAAGCATAATTTATGTCCGGCATGAAAAGCTGTTTTGTAGTCTCTATTTACAGAAACATCAATCTATTTAGTCTTTCCTTCCTCTTTAATCTTCCCTTCCTTACTTAACTTTTGGTAAATCAAAAGAACAGGAAGCTTTAATATGAAAGGGCCCTTCCATACCTTTAACTATAAATAGTGTCTTGCATAAAAAAGCCCTGAAGAACATTTACACTATGCTTACTTTCAGGTACATGTGTCTAATAAAGCCCAACCCAGAAGCTATGCAAATTCTTCTTTCTTTCCTTAAATATAATCAATCCTACTTTCCTTATAAATTTTCCCCATTGCTCCAACTTTGTTTTTGCTATAGAAGACAGCCTCAGCTATTGGTGTTTTATCATTTGTACAAAATGTCCCAAGCACAGTTCATATCATTCTTGACGCATTAGAGAAAGAAAGGAAAATCCCTGTTCTTACTTGAGATTTTAAAGCATGTATTTTAAGAAAATGACACACAACTAAATGAGACTAGAGCACATGATGTGCAAATCCAATAAGCCTTTAGCAGAGCAGAAGCCATCAGCCACAAATGCCTGAAGAACGTAGCAGTCTAAAGGCAGTTCCACGAGGCAGTATCAAGACAGCTTGCACTTATCATCTCCCATGCTTCTTGCTGAGGCCTGTGACAAAAGCCACTAGGTGAATGCTTTGTGAAAAAGGAAAGGCAGCAGGGTATAGGTATTTGTAAAACGAAAAGGGAGCAGGGTGTATGTAAAGTGATTCCTTCTCCACTGCATCTCACTTTTTTCAACAGTAGGGGCTTTAGCTCACTGCGACAGAGCAGTTGCATCTGTCCCACAGCTCAGTAATTGAGTAGTGTGATATTCAGAGCACTGGAGAAGTACTTACGATCCTGGTATTAGTTATGCTTCATCTCATCATTAAAAAAACAATATCTTCCAGTCTCACATAAGCCTGAACAGACTTACCGCACACAAACAATAGCTCCTGGGTGAAAGACTCCCAGTTATTCTTTAAGATTCTTACTGATGCAAAGAGAATTAAAGCTTTCCTGCTGTGGTATGGTATTTCCAGAATGCTCTTTTTATATGTGGACTGTCATCAACCTTCTCCATTGTCTTCCCTTTCCAATTCTTTTTGAGGTTTCCTGCTTCTGACATGCTTCACAACACTTTTCGAATTAGGTTCTATTTCTTTAGCAATTTACTACTCAAAACTTCCCTGGACAAGCCTCGAGTAACCTGCTTCGACCTCATAGCTGACACTCCTTTCAGCAAGAGGTTGGACTCGACGACATCCTGGGGTCCATTCCAACTGGAATTACCAGACAACCCCGTGAGCCCCCAGGCAGCCAGACTAGTGTAGAGAGGAAACTCAGCAGAGTGTAAAACAAGATTATGACTTAAATCAGGTGACTGAACAGACAGCAATAACAACTGAAGTTGCATTTATTGTGCAGCAGTGTGGGGTGGTCTCACCCTACTTGAGCTTCCCTTACTGGGATGAGAAACCTATGATGCCATGTCCCAGTGGTGATTGCTAACTGAGCTGATTTATTGAAGAGCATGCTACCTACGCTGTAATCCACACCGGGCTGTAGCACAGACATAGGCCCACCAACCTATCTGTGCCCATGCAGTGAGGCAGAGGGTTGCTCTGTGAGCAGCTCTGGTTTTTCAGCAGCACCGCGAGGAGGGACTGCTTTGCCAGGTCTGCCAAGGACTTAACACAAGCTGTAAAGAACAGCTCTGGCAGTTGCCTTCTCTCAGGAACAGAGTGGCAAAAGTTCAAATTGCCAGAGGTTCTAATTTGGCAGTTATGTCAATCTGCCAAGAATACAGTCTCTTTTATTGTCCTAACAAGAGAATCAAATGGAAACATTAACAGCATTAAACACAGATCTGTACGAACAAAGAATTAGCTTCTAGCCACAGCAGTGAGACATGTCAGATTTCACACACCATGAATAAATACTCATTATGAAGGAGAAATTCTAGACAACAACATGAAGATCTCTCACAGATTATTTGTTTTACTGCACTGGAAGCTCTTGATTCTGTATATTAAATGGATATGTTTGCCCATTTTAACCAATATGAGTTATTAGAGGTATTGTGATGAGAGAAGACAGACTGACATCAGAATTTTAGGATTATTAATTGACACCAAGGTCCTTTGACAAGTCACTTAATCTTAATATCTCCATTACCTCCTTTGAGAAATAGTCATAACATTACTTCAGAATTTCCATTCACTATTATATAGAAATAATGTAAAGTTTTGGATTAAAATAGGTGTTGGGTGTACAAAGTTGCATGCTCAAACATCACTACTTCAAATATTGGAAAATTAACAAAGTTCC